GAATAATGTAAATACCACACAAAACACTTTGGTGTCATTATCTACACCAAATAATGTCTTCACTTGAAAACGAGGCTTATAGAAAGGCTATATTTCGATCACGAATTGTGATGAACTTTTTATTTGATTATTTCAATTGTATGATATATATATTTTAATATATAAATTATAATATGAATAGGTACGACATAATGAAGATGTGCTGGAACCTACAGCCGGATAAAAGACCGAATTTCTGTGACCTCATTGAAGCGTTTGAAAAGTTATTAATGGTAAAGTCCAAAATATTTGATTTGTTAGATGTGCCGTTATTAAGTGTTCTCTATCTTTATTTAATATTTGTGTTGAGAATAAAAAATATGAAAAACTGCGGACTCACATGTCAGCTATTTCAATATGTGAAAAGCCGTTTAATTAGAATGAACCCTGGTAACTCATTAACCTGTATGGTGTGTGAATGAGTAATGGTGAAGGAGGCCTTGGCTCGCCTCACCATATATTGCTACACTAAACTGAAGTAACTCAGCTACGAAATTCTTCTTCCACTCAACGATGTCAATTTATATGACCCTTGAACTTCAAACAGCGTTCAATCATAACCCCGTGTGTCCAAACGACAGTCAAAATTAGTAGACAGGTAAAAGTCATTTATTCTATGCTGTATACTTTGGCACGTGTTTCGATGCAGCCCACAGATTATGCTTGTCAACAAGACGTATTTATCTCTCTATACTGAATTGTCTATTCGCCCAGCATTTTTTCTGTGGCAAATATATCAATCCAAAGGTGAATTATTACGGTAAAATGGCCTTAACACAAAACTGCCTTATAGCGGACTGGCTGAAATCCAGTTTAGCCATATAGCCGTAACGTGTGCAGTGTTGAGGTGCATAATCAAGTGCTTATCATCATTGGGGGTGTTCAATTACAAATAACTCAAGGAATTTTGTTTTTTCTAGGGAATGGTGTATGATGACGTGGAAGTGCAGGTAACAGTTTAATATTTAGTGAACTTCATTTATATTATACCTCATGTTATGACATTCAATCAGATTTGCTCATTATAGGTAGACATAATCGAATGTGTAAGTGGCATTTTCAAATCATGTTTGTTTGTACTTCAACCGAGGTCCGATATGAATAATATAATTATGTAACATGTCTCACAACCCACATCATTATTATTATCAAACCTACCTATCGTAGTAGAATTGTGGATAATTAAGTGAGATTTTCTTTGTGTTGTTGTATAGGAAGCGACAGGCGACGTTCAGTTGTGTATATGATCCAGTCGAATATCGAGTAAGTTATTTTGTTATGTATTTAAAGTAAGAATTATTTTGACAACATTCTAAATCGGTTTTGAGGTGGACTGAATGCATCGTTAACGATGTTGCTCATAAATCGATCATCTAACTTGCTCACAATATTTTAAAGAGAGGTATCATGTTTATTTTCAGAAGTAGCTGGCCACGACTGGTACGATATTTGACAATACGTTAAATAGTAATCATTATGGATGTATATATTCCATTTTATTTTTTTCCAACCACAATAATGGACGATAATACGAACCCACTGATTGTAAGAATCTCCACTTCCGCAACACCGAGTGTAATCTTCAAAATGATATGTCGTGTCATGAAAATTATATCTTATCATGGCTGTGGTAATCTAATTGTTTTAGTATGATCGCTATATTAATATTAACATTACTGGAGTTATAAACAGTGCTTAACAAAATGTGTTAACAAGATGTCAGTGACTTTTTTAAATCAAACATAAAAGTTAGTCTGCATTTCATTTATCCTAAAAATGCTTCGTAAGAATTATTATCATTCATTGTTATTCAAGATGTTCATAATGATGTACATTTCATCTGCTTTTTCTTTGATTCTTGTTCTTACATTACTTTTATTCGTGTAACAATTATAGTTTAATCATTCCAAACGAAAACAACGTGAACTACAACTTGCAAGTAATAATATTGAAACGAAATGTTATCAATGCCCAGGGGGGGGGGGTTATGCAATAACTTCACGAAGCGTATATAGAACATAAAGCTAAGTTTCGAATACATAGTTAACATTTCAATTAAATATTGAATAATATATAACAAACATTTAATGCAAAAATATGTAACTGTTTTTTTAGTTTGACACGATTATTGTAAATTTTGGATATTTTTTTTGCACTTCGTGTGATTTGTGTATTTCCAATAAAATACACCCACCAGTGATTGGAACGAATCTATAAAGTTAACATGACGTATGTAAGCAATGTCGTTTTACGATGTTAGGTAATCATTTCTCATTTAAAATATACCAAGTTTGTAAAAACAATACATTTTATTTATTGACGGACGGACGAACGAACATATATGACCAAACTATGAGTGATGTGAGCAGCATGTTTTACAACGATCTACGTCACAGACGCAATTCGTCGTTAGAGAACGCTACCTACAGCGTGTTGTGAACGATGTTTTCTGAACTAAAAATAATCTATTTTAACCCTTGTAACAAATTTGTCATAGATATAGTGGTGTAGGTAATTTGAAACGACCAATATCACAGTTGCTCATATGATAAAAATTAATTGTTCAAAGGCATTCCGCATTAAACATAATATTAATATCATTCATCAAGCTATTCTTGTATAATGTTCATGTTATCAAATATTATTATACATCTGTCACTGTGACGCGATAAGTTACACCGTGCCGTAATTTTGCGGTATTGCACTGGGTATTTTCATTCTATCATATTAGGAAACGCAAATTCCAATTAGGGAACGATTACGCGCGTAATAAAAAAAAGCTGTCCCAAGTGCACTACATCTGTTCTAAGCGTTTTGGTTTTCGGCATTCCCTCGATGTATATATTCCTCGGAGGAAAAGATGTATAATAATAAGGTTATTACGAGGATACTGCAAAGTAAGCCCTTAGACAATACGAGGTCGCTGCGCGTCGGTCAATGCTCCCGCTATACTCTCTACGTTCATGTTTTGCAGTATCCTCGTAATAACATCATATAATTATGATTTGAATTAATAATGTTCTGTGTATAGACAGCTATATTATTCCAAATTCTAGTGTGTCTATAGCATACTACTTTATTTAAAATGAGTTCCATAATTTTGGAATGGAAGGACTTCGTTTGCATTTGCACACTTGCTTTACACCGACTAAAAGTACATCAACATGCTACCATTGCCCTTCTGATAAGACACTATGACATGAAATAAGCAGAAAATTCAAACCAATTGCCTTCTAATTTAAATCCAAAATGTGTTCTACTAACTCTCTGCGGATTGGCATCTATACTATACATATATGTGGTGAACACATTTGAATACTGCACATTTGAATACTGCTGCAACATCAGTTTAATCGGCGAAGTTCAAATGTTGGATTCCTAACATACTGAAAAGTTGTACTCGAATTCTCTTGATATATAACACCTACACCATGTCGTATGCCGTTACCCTACACAAGCCCTAAGCGGGGGACTATAAGCACGAGCTATATAAAGACTTCGATGCAGAATAGCATCAATGGGACGAGTTGTTGACGAAGTCAGCCACTGTCGTCTGCTACAACATAGTATTAATATTACATGACTTAAAGCTTGTAATATGTGTATTAAATTGTTGAAACTTACGCAATATGGCATATAGTAGTAATAATATATTAATCTATATATGTATATATGTATTACATTTTTTGAGAGAATATAATTATCTCATGTACTACACGGAGTATAATAGCCTCATGGTTTTACGGACTTTATATTTGAAGATTATAGTTTATGCAGATATAAGAGCTGACAACACAAAAAGTATGGTCCCATTTGGCATAATTATTCATTGGGTAACTGTTCTATAATACAACTTACCAGTCGGATGGCAGAGAATGGGAGCGACCTATGCGCCCATTAAATTCACATTAATGTAGAACAGTTGCTTATGCTATTCTGGCGCGTGTTGGTATGTGTTCGTTCGTGTTACATTAAAAACGTGGGTAATTTTGAACTACTGAAGTGAGTTATGGCAACCAATTTAATAGCAGCGAGAAATAACAAAGAAACACTGCCAACAAAGCCTGACAAAATAACTTCTTGGTGCGTTACGCAATGTTACGCCAAAAAAGACTTCACATTCGCCTTGTCTGTGACAGTGTTTATAGTTACGTTATTTGCTTTAGTTCACCCTAAAAGGTTTTTGTTGATGTCCACTGAATTGAATAATATTTCTAGAAAGTTATTCAAACCTTCTCATTTACTTATTTCAAAAGGGTTCATATGTTAACCGAAAGGAAGTCATACTGTCTTTTAGGTGCCAGTTTATTGTATATTTCTCTGATTCTGATTTAATGTTTACGTATTTGCTTTCATGGATGTAATGTCAAATTGGAAATATTTTGGCAACGTTTTAAGGCTTTAAAATGGAATTAATGTGTTGATTGGACAGAGTCGTAAATATAATTACAACAAAAAAACGATCAAAATCTGTAATAATCTTTGAACAGAAATGTTTTATTTTGTCGATTTACCTTGAACCCTATTGTTAAAATGTTCACGCAATCATGAAATGTCAAGAACATTAAGTTAAAGCAATAAAATAAAAGTAATACAAATTTCCGTAAAATGACTATGGAACTACGCATAGATTAGTACTTGTATCGTATTCTCAGTATAGACGACATTCATTGCAGTATTGTGTCAGTTAAATGAAATAGATATGGGAACTTAGATGCTGAAACGGCGTTGTAAATGCATTAAACTATTCCAATAATAAATAGGTTACCACCTGCTAGTACGTCAACTCAAGTCTACAACAAATCAAAACCGTTTGTTTGTGCCCGATGTATTATACGCAAATCGTCATAATATGCTGGTCATCCGCATACCTGTCAATTGTGCTTGATAAAATCAATTGCAGGCATACTTTTTCTGTAACTGGCAATGCACTGGTGAAATATAGTAGTATATTGCAACGTTTAGAGATTTTTTGGTTCGGAACAGAACTTGAACATTTTATGAAAAGCTCGTCGTTTAAGCGCTGGACAATCTAGTTTCAGAAATCGACAAAATCTATCTGTTGGTCTATCTGTTGGTTTATCGCACTTTTTAGATATATATTCCTGTTTTATACGAAATGTTTGCAAATCATTATCAAAATCACCTTCATACTGTTTAATTCTGAGCCACAGTGTTCGATTGAAGTGCTCGTACAGCTTGAGATCGGCAGAATTCCAATCTGCTATTTGTGTCTTCACATTCTCTGTCATTTGAGATCGCGTTTCACGGGACATAACTTTGTTTGAATAGTATATGATGTCATCAAACTCCCAGCACATCATCTTTTTCAAAAGAACCAAAGATTCATCCATGTATTCCGCTATCATCACCAAGTCAAACTCTTTATCAAGCTCTCGTATCTTTTCATCGATTAAATTCTGATTTTCCGTGTAAGATGAAGCAAAGCCAAACATGTACATCTGACCATTTTTAAGTTGATTATTGGATATGCGGTTATTTGATAATTGTATCTTACTATATTCAGAAATATTCTCCACAAACATATGAAAAGGATTTTTTGTATCGCTTAACTTAAACTTTGCCTCCCAATTGTAGAAATAAAAAGCCGATTCAAATTGACTGTACGGTGAACGAACTGTTGTAAAAAACTTAGCATCCGGTATGAAGTCATTCAACACATGATAATCGTAACTGGGTATGTGACTAACTATGTAGTCATAGCCAATATTTGCCCCAGAACATGTGCTGTTATAGGTTATTACCCGCGAGTTTATTATCCTCAAATGACCTGCTTCGGGATTCTCGGCAAATACTGGCGTCAAGTGATGAGTAAGTCCGTATCGTAAACACACAGATCCGACAGTGCTACTTGCCGCTTTCACGTTTTTAACAAAGATAAACTTTTGATGTGGATTACATGGATGCGAGTCCGAAAGATATCCTGTTATGTGTAAGGTTTCCATTTGCTTATTAATGTCAGTTGTAACTGTCGTATTCCCAGACGTGAACATCCCAGTATGTTGGTAATCCTTGCCATTTGAACGTTTTATGCTGTAAGATATCAAATGCAACAACTTGTATTAGTGATAAAGTTGTTTTACAGTTGCTTGTTCAGAAATATTTTAATTACCACACTCACAGACGTGAGTATACGTATATATCGTGTGTTTATGTACTTAAACATGTTAACATCTCGTGCTATACTATTTTCTGTGAATGGTCATTTCTGTGAATGGTCATACGAGTTCATTTTAAAGATAATTCTTAAATACAAAAATAACTTCAAAACACTAAAAACTATGTTCAAATGCGATATAGCACACACGTTCTATTTGCTACCGTGGTTAACGCATCCAGCGTTGGGGGTTTATTCGTAGATTATTGTAAGCGGCAACGTAATCTTCGAAAAATACTAGTAATAGAGACGCCGATTAGGACCGTACTTTCGATTGTGGTTCGAAGATTGACAAAACTACCGGGTTCAACGATCCACTGCAGACGACGTCAATTATTTTGTGTTTGCCTCCTTGGCGGAATTCTGAATTAAACTACACTGTGAACACATACATCCGTGAAATATCAGTCTGATATACCAGTCTGATATTTTAAACAGGCTTGCATTAATTAAATCTACCACACATCCAACCACAATTTTGCATTTACACGTGTGACAATCTGAAATATAATATAATATTATATATAATATTCCCATACGTTCTTTTTATTTTCCATTCTTACGTTCAGTCTATTCATAGTTATTTGTCAAAGAGCTGTAACATACATATAATAGTAACACATGTGTCATATGTTGTAAGCAATTGGCCTGACCTGCCGTACTGCGTCATTCATTGTCGCCCGATGGTACAGATTCACCATAGTTACATTAAATATATTCAATTGTATGTCGTATAAACACCAAAATCAGTGTTTAGCCAGTATGCATGAATGGATGCATGTCATTAATGTACGACTAATATTACTTTCAGAAAATATTTACTTTTGTTAAAAAAAATAGCCAATTGTGTACAATTTTAACCTAAGTCGTATATGGTGCAGGTGTTATAATGATACTACACGATAAAAAAGAAGCATCTCAATAATATACCGAAATAACTGACTATGCATACTTACGCAGTAGACGAATCAATTGACAGTATTTGTATTATGACTTTATATGTTGTGGCATATAAAACCCGTCGTTGTAAAAGAAATATAGCAGATAGTGTGGCTACTATGGTCGCACAAATAATCCTTGAACACAGCTTCATTCTTAAATCTGATTCTAGCTACATGTGATGAACACTGTCAAACATGTATGGCAGAGCTCAACAGGATGACATAAAGGTGCACCTGCCTGTATATACGGTTCAGTAGTTATTTCCTATTAAATATGTTTTGAATATAACACATGGTGTAGCTGGATTAACGCTAGTTTATGCAAGCACGGCTGCACTACATTATAATCAGGAATTCTAAATAACGCCATGGTTGTATATTCTTTGTAGATAGTGAATGTTCGCAAAATACAGTGCAATACATTTTAAATTCTAGTTAATTACCATTCATTCATTTCTCGCTAGTTATGAGTGGTGTATTTGTTTTACGATTACTACCGGTGCATTTTTATTCTCAATGAACGAAAAGAGGAATTCGTTTGTGTGTGCATCATTTGCGTACATTTGTATAAATCATTTCAACAACAAACTCAAGAGTGTTTACACGTTAAGCTATGCTAGTCATGTTTATCTTAAAAATAACATATCAGCGTGCTGTCGCATGTCACTCTTTTATGAATGTTTTTATGAATGTTCTGTTATGTAAAATGTAAGCGCCATCATCATGCTGAACTACACACTATAAGCGAAATGTATTTCAGCGCATTATTTCAATTGTTATGATACTACGTATAATGTATTCTAACTATAATTTGGTAGACACTGTATAACTGCACTCAAGTGAAACGACTGCAATAAATGATAGTTAATTCTGAGGCAGTGTATACCATTTACCAGCAGAAATCGGTACCTCCACAAGATGTATATGTTAGATAGATAACCGCACTCAAGTGAAACGTTTGCAATCAATGATAGTTCATAATTCTGAGGCATTGTATACCATTTACCAGCAGAAATCGGTACCTCCACAAGATGTGTATGTTAGATAGATGACCGCAGACATCTTATATTTCTTGTTATAAGTGTGATCAGCAGTTACTTTCTTTTATTTTCCATCAAAACAACTCAACTCCATGCAATTCATGTATTCCATTTCTTTTCTCACACATTTACATTGATATTAATACGAGCATTGGCATTTACTGCTAATATTTGTGAACAGGTTTAATTTATTTTCTGCAGATAGAGGATGGTACTGCATATTATACTACATTGATTGGTTCTTACTGTCATATTATTTTAAATGGATTCATGTATGACTGCACTTATTGTTCTGACTTTATTCATTATTACAGACCAAATAATATAATAATCTTATTGTGAATGCACATAATGAATAATGTCAATCAAATCAATGAAAAAGACAAGGGGGATATATCGACGTCATGTGCAACCGCATAAATGCAGTTCAATGTATTTATTGATAGAGTTGAGTAGCTTGTACCCTGCACGCTGCACGTGTGCGGTGGCGTGTTTGGTCACATGGTATAATAACTTGAAATTTGATGTGGTAACCACTATGTTGAATTAACGTTTCATTGCGCCACTTACCGACAAGAGGGTGATGCCAGTGTTGTGTGCCGACTCAGAGGGCACTAGCTACCATAACCCATATACTCGTACAAATATATTTAAGTCCTCGGCCACCCTTGATCTGGTCTATAATAGTTCCCTAAAGCCGGTCGTTTGAAAATGTTCAATTTGAATTGAGAGTATACAACATTACATTGCGCAATCTACCGACTCGAAGATGTTGACAGCATACTTAACCATCGTAGAGGGCACTTATTCATAATTTATTGTCGCGTACTTTCATATCCCTGACTTCGGCTAATTATACCATCTTTGAAACATATGTAACTCGGAGATGCAATTAGTATAAGACATTTATCTTTTATACAATGCCCATTACATTATGACACTGACTGCAGCCCTCTACTGAAACGTTTGTTAACCGGACGAGCCGTCAGTAAAAAAAATCAATTTACGCTTATAATGATGTACATTATGTCACTGAATGTAAAACGCGTTTACAGTTGCGATTAATATCCTGTCATTTCTAGAACAATAATGACACCATTGATAATCTTGATCATATTGTGATTACGATTACAGCTTAAAACAGTGCACAGTGAAACATTACGTTACAATTTATTGTTTACGAGTTTCCATTGACGTTTCAGCTTGCACTTCAAATTGAGTAAATTGTCATTATCATCGCTGTATTTGTCCTCACAGTATTAGATCTGTTATAATATATATCATTTTGGTGGATCATACGCTATCAATGAGAATATTCTGTGTCCATGTAAAGGTACTATCAATGACATAAGTTAAAGTAGAAATACAATTTTCCATCGCCATTTTTTTTCTATAAGTAGGCCCTCTAGCGATAAAGCTGTCACGTGTTTGAAGCAATGAATTGATGTTCACAGTACGCATCTGTACGCTTTGTTTCCGACACAGAAACCTTACTTCCTATCAGGTAAAATACAGACAAGTCCTGTCGTTGCAGAAAACATAAGAGGTCATCCCAAGCAAAGTCGTATATTGTTCGCATGCAGAAGAGACGGTAGATCGATCGACTGTATTTTTTGTCACATACAATTATTTGCTTATTCTTTTTACAATGGAAGATCGTGCGGGTAAAGTTCAGACAGATGAGCTTTTAATTTGACAGTTAAACTTTTTGCTGTTGACTCTGCAGATACCTAATACAAACTTGTTATTAGATTATGGACAGAATACATGGAGGTGCATGTGACGTTATTTTATGTCTCCGTAATACCGTGCATATAGCCAGCAATATGCAACTAAATGTGCATAATATATATACTCTTGTTTACACACGTTATCAGTCAACAAGGGTCAAATTTAGGTGAAATATCGTATCAGTAAGCGACGGGTCAACAGTAATGGGTTTCGTCGTACTAAATAAATAATATAGTTCATCACATTTACCAAGAGGGCGCGTGCAATGATTGTCAAGCGTTGGGTATGTGTATGTCGTTTTACCCGGGGTGTAATTGACGCCATACTCCTAGTATAGTAAAATTTCCCTAGTATCTCCTTCTGCACCATACCCATGGATGCAGTTATGAGATTACATATTAAATATTTCACACGGCCATAGAATATTATGAGGTTATTACGAGGATACCTCAAAGTATACACGAAGACAGTACGCGCGTAACCATTCCATATTTGGAATTCGCATTTCCTAGTATGATAGGATGAAAATTCACCGTAAAATGCCGCAAAATTACGGCACGCTGTAACTTATGAAGTTAGCTGAGAGATGTATAATACATATTTTTTATTACAACCGTGTTTTTGTTTCAGTTTGTGGTCTCCTGGATCCTAACGATTTAGGCTTTACCTTGACACATGAACATCTAACGTTAGATTATACTCTGGGACATGTAGCACCTGACAGAATTGGTGAATCAAACGGGATGTCTGATGCCCCCATTACTTTACCAAATCTTGGATGGATAAGACAACACCCGTGAGTTTATCATATTATACATGACATAGATATAACACGTAGCTAGTTCCTTGGTTGTTTTGAATCAAATTTTAGTATATTATGTCTTTCTGGGTAATAAGTTTTTTTTAAGTATTACCTTGACAATTGCTGGTGTTTTGAGTGGCATTTGAGACATACAGCATACAAACTGCTTACAGTGGACCATAGAAATCATTGTAATACTAAAATGTTGAATCTGTTACAATGTACACACGTACGGAAAGGCTGTGACGGGTTTACCACACGAACATTGATTTTT